AATTCCTACAAACCATACAAAAACTGGAAGAAAATATAGCTAACCAGGTACATAATGCTCTGAAACCTTTGAAAGAAGATTTCCAATCATTAAAAGAATTGAGCCCAGAAGCAAATTGGGAGCCAGTGGAGATGGGACAAGGCTTGGAGTGTTATAGTCCCTGCATCCAACTCCAGTCAACACTCTGACCTCAGCATTCTGTATGAACTGTAGCTTCTAGACAGTCTTCAAGGGCAGCCCCACATAGAGTGCATTGCAGTAATCTAGTGTAGCAAAATGTTTCCAGCACAGAGTGGGCCACAACTGCCTCCCCAGCCAAAGCTGTTGAACAGCACCCTTGGCCATCACTGCCTTCTGTTTATCCAACAGGAGGCCTGGGTCCAGCAGAACTCCCAAGTTATAAACCTACTCCTTTAGGGGGAGTGCAAACCCACACATTTGGGTCATTTTAGCATGTATGAGCTAGGCCCTGCAGAAATGTTAAATCTTGGACCTTTGTATATCCATTCTGGATAGAGTTTTAATGGTGTGACAGAGTCATGTAGTAGAGCCAGCTTGTTGTAGTGGTTAGAGTGGTAATGTAGGATTTGGGAGACCCGCGTTTGAATCCCTGTTCTGTCATGAAAGCTTGCTTGGTGGTCTTTGGCCAGCAGGGCTGTTGTGTGGATAAAACAGAGAAGGGGTGAATGTTGTAAGCCATTTGGCTGTGGAAAAAAGTGGGGTATAAATGAAGTAAATAAATAAAAATAGACAACAGTACAGGAAGGTACAAGTATTATATTTAATTTTTAGATTTGGGGTGTGGGGAAATATTAGGGTTGATAAATGCAATTTGTAAAAAATTAAAGGTTTTGCTGTGTTCTTGAATTTGCCAAAAAATGGTCCTTTTAAAAATCTTGTTGCCAAATGCCATTCTCACTTATGTGATTTCTGGGCCTCTTTACATATTATGAAGTACTCGGGTTGGGTCTGGGGTCCCCACCCTGTGGCGCAGTCAGACATCAATTGTGGGTTCTCCTCAGTATCCTCATGTATGATTTGAAATTCAGATTGTGAGTATGGTGTGCTTATGTGTTTTACCGGCAAGCCAGAGAGTTCTGCCCAGGAATAGTTCAGGTCAGGAAACTGGCACAGGGGAGAAGATTTGAAACCCCTTCTTTCCATGTGCCACAGTTGTAATCTGAATCTGGCAACACATGAGTGGGAAATGTAGAAAGAAGATTTCAGACTCCTCTGAACTCCAGGATTCCTCACTCTTGTTGCGACTGAACAACAACAAATATCTTTCAAAGCTGAGAAGGGGCTTGCCCAGCACTTGCTGCCTCAGATAGTTTTAAGAGAGAGCCCAGAAGGGGCTCAGGACATATTCTGTTGTGTAGAATAAGACCATTTGGCAACCAAATTGACCAAAGCATATGATTTTAATCCTCATAAAATTGAAATCTGGGACATTCTGCAGGCCGTGATGCACAGCCCCTCCCCACCCCAAATTATCTACCCACATCCCATCCTTCTTCAAAGGAGCGTATGGGTACATTATTCTCCTCTGTTTCGTTTATCCTCTCAATAGCTATGTGAGGTAGGTTAGGTAGGGAAAAAATGACTGTCTCATCTCACCCAGTGAGCTTTAGATGGAGTGGGAATTTGAATCAAGGTCTTCAGACTCTGGAGAGGCAACATAGAAATGTTCTGTATAAACAGCCTCCACACCATGCCAGCTGCCACTGATAAAGTCTGGCTTTTGCTTAAGAGTGATTTCATTACAGCTTTGTACATAAATGCCAAATAATTGTGCGTAGCATTTGCACTGTGCATTATTTAATGAAGAATTTCTAAGTAACCAGTAGAACTTAAGGGCTCCCTTCCTCCCAGCCATCAGCCAAATGCCATCAATAATGCCAAAACGAGATGAGGTAGCAGCCAGTCATCCTTCTGTCATGCTTAGTTTGAGAACAGCACTAGACATATATTTTAATAGATATGGGCCTTGGTCACACGGAGAATTTGCCGCGCGAAAGGCACAAATGTGCGGCAGATTTTCAGGGCGTGATCACACTGCAACATTTGGAAAGCGTAGCGCACCCGTGGCCACCCCGTGGTGTCCCCTCAAAGATGCGGAGTTAAAAAGTATCCAGAAAACAGGTGGGCGTCTGATCGTGGGAGCGCTAGTATCCCATGGCATCTGGCACCTGTTCACGTCCCGTCGCAAGCCTGATGTTTTTCGTAAGCGCATGCACACAAACACGAAACTGAAAGCACTGCTGCTCCGCGGAACTGTGCATGCGCACAAACACAAAACGCCTCCCCCCACGTTATCTGGCCCGTGTGACCGGGGCCATGTATTAGTTTTTAATTGTTTTAAGCTGCTTTGGGAGCCAGAAAGGGGATAAAAATATAATATGTTTACATTACAGTCCTAAGCAGAATTATACCCTACTCAGTCCATTGACGTCAGTGGGATTAGAAGAGTGTAACTCTGTTTAGGATTATACAGTAAATGATGCAATCCAGAGAGTTAAGAATACGGAAACCTCTTTTTGAGTACTCTGAAGCTCAAATGCATATGTTTTTCACAATTCCTGTGCTTGCTGCTCTGCACATGCACTGAAGCTCAGATATCAGTAAGTGTGAATTTTCCTTCCTGCTACCAGCACTAGGCAACAGTGTCTTACCTGTGTTTGATTTCTGTAATTGCTCCCAGGTTACTACATCATATGTCATGTTTGGCCTGGAGTAAAGACTTCTGGCCAAGTTATACTCTTTTTGATTCAAGGAGTTCCTAATGGAAAAACTAAAAACAATCGTACAATAGCTATTTGGAGTGAGGTCACCTTTTACTGCTGAACATTCTTCTAGTAATAACAATACTGGAAGAAAACTGAGCTCTGATTTAAGAACTTCTGCTTAAAGAGCCCAGCCTGTAAATGACAGCAGAGCCACAGGGAGTCCACTGCTTGCTTTAGTGGGTTTTACAGCAGCCTCCAAACGGCTAGTGCATCAAAAACAAATATGGTTTCTGCTCATATGGTCTCAATGTTTAAGCAGTTGTCATTTTCCCCTTGAGTATTTTATTTTTAAGATGGAAAAGGCAATGTTTAACAAGGGCTGATTAGTTCTCTAAAGCAACTATTTCACAAAACTGTTGGTTTCCAATTGATTGTCTTTTCTACACTTGTACCATTCTTCTGCCTCTCAACTTCCTTTACTTGGCAAAAACAAAAATACACCAAGTGGGACAAAATGATTAGACATACATTTGGAACAGAGGCACCTGATGGGTCAAGGTGATAAGGAAATGCCTGGAAAAGCTTTATACTTTAAATATCTGCACTTTCAAGAGTAAATGACAAAAGGGATTAATCTCTTGTTATGTTTTCTGTTGCTTGTGAACAGTACAGAGTTGCCTGCTGCTAGATATGGGAAATGGGTGAAATGGAGCACTAACTAGACTCAGGATCATGAAGTTTCATACTTAAATTTGACCACATGTCAGCAACGTTCAGACTACTGGTGGAGTGCATGGCGTGAAGTGGAACCCAGAATTTCTAGATCTGCTTAGGTGTATACCTAAAATAGTAATTTATAAAGTTAACCTTATAATATTTTTCCAAGGCTGTTTATTCTCCCCATGGGGAAAAGATACTGTGAGTGTGTGTGTTTGAGTGAGCAGCATTCTAAGACTACTTTTCATGTAAAAACAAGGATTGGTTCTGTTTGATATCACTCATTTCCTGTAAGCATCACAGGATAGCACTCATTTCCTGTAAGGTACTTTTTTTTTACAACCAGAGCCAAAGGGATGTGGTTGGTAAAATGAGGAAGTCACTATCTCTCAAACAAGCCTGCCTCACAGGGTGGTTTGGGGGCTATTTGTTGACTTTATATGTAGTCTGCCTTTTCGTGCTGAGTCTCAAGGTGGATTACAACTAAAACAATGCAGTAAGAACAATAAAATTCATACGACTATTCTTAACTAAATGTACAACTAAACTAAACCACCACTCAACAACCTTGGGAGAGAATACTAATGTGACATTGTTCTGTAAGGTATCCTGATCTTGCTCACATCCGTCACCCATGATGAGTTCAGCATACGCTGACACTAACTTTGGATCCCTGATTGCTTTAGAAGACTGAGTATATCTCTGCGTTCAAATATAGAAGTAATAATGTGAAAAAATAAAGATGCAGTCACAGATTACACAGGCTTGATGTTGCCAAAAAAGATGAGTGTATGTAGATGTTATCACCTGAAGAAGAAAAATTCATGTTTAGATCCAGATGTTTATCGTCTACTTTCTATCGGTTTTTTAAATATTAAACATGATGTTCCTAAACTGAGCTACCCAGGGATGCTGCTGTTTTGTACAGTGGGTTAGTATACTGGTTTAGTAAGAAAAGTGAACGTGCAAAGTATTCCTAGAAAATAGAACATACCATCTTCTCTAAAGAATACTGTCTGAATCATAAATGAAACCGGTGATATACTTTCAAACCCTTAAAATACAAGATTTCCAATACTGTTTTGCAGGGCTCTAGTCGGGGGGGAGCTCTCAGGTACGGAGCTCCGGAAGAGAACCTCTAGGGGGCGGGGCGGTCACGTGGTGAAGCCCCGCCCCCTTCTTTACCCCGCCCTCTGCTTCGATCCTCATTCCGTTTGGGAATGAGGATGAAGCAGGAGGGTAAGTAGCCGGGCCTTCTGACACACTTCCGGTGATGTCAGGGGGTGTGGCCTTCTGTCACTTCCGGTGATGTCAGGGGGCGTGGCATATGCAAATAAGTTATGCTAATGAGTTATGCTAATGAGCTCCGGCAGCTCTTTTTCTACAACAAGACCCCTGCTGTTTTGTAGTTTGCAACATCATTTGTCTACATATTGCTACATATATTTTTTTTAAGCCCCAGAACCTCATTATGGTTTTCCTGCAAGAAAAAAATTAGGTTTGCTGTATCTTAATTGAGAGATGTCATGTAAGTATGTCAGGACACCATCTACTTACCTGATGGCTTATCAGTTGAAGTTGGAATACTAGTAACTGGTGGCATTGTTGGGAGTGTGGGTGGAAGAACCTTTAAATTCTGGTCACTTTGAATTTCATTAGTAGATATTTGGTTAATAATACGGTTATAATTGGGAGGTTGGTAGACTCGGTTTGGTGGTTGTGGAGGTTGTGGGATTGGTTTAATGGATGATGTCCTCTGGCAGTGCTCTTCTAGCTGTGCAATAATTATTGACTGGTTGTTGGCAATGGTTACCAGATGCTGATACTTGTGCTCCAAGTCCTTGTATTTGTTTGCAAGCTGCAACATGTCAGCAGTTTGATTCAGTATCTTATTTTCCAGTTGAGAAAGTTCTAAAGCATTGTCCCGTTTTCGGATGATTTCATGCAGTAGCTGCATGTAGAGTTGGGTGACCCGTGAGTTCATGTTGCGGCTCTCTTTTCGTAAGAGCTTTACTTCATTAACAATTCCTCCATCAACCTCCACCAACTGCTGAAGGGTTTCTATTTGCCTCTTTTGCTTAAGGAGTTCATTGTTCAGCAATTCTATCTCCTGCTTATTTACCCTGTTTTCAAGTACAACCTCTGGTTCTTTTGAATTGACACAAATGGCACCTGTCACCTTCTGTTGAGGTACAATGAAGGTGTAGGTACACTTGTCTTGGGTGTCACTGGAGCGCTTATACCTGTTAGTGTAAATGAATTCTTGTTCTTCTCCTGCATCTCTGCTCTCAGAATCTTGAGTCTTGGTGGCATGCGTGCCCAATGCAGTCATTAACAACAAGCAAACTGCTGCCTTCATGGCCTTTTGTTTCTGCGTTGCTTTGTACAAATGAACCTTTGGATCTGTTTTAACATAAAATAAATAAACAATAGTTAATAGCCACTATCAAGTAAAAGCAAGCAAAAAAGCAGTTCTGTTCTAAATGGTAAAATCATTGAATGGCAACTAATCCTGAGAAAGTGCATTGAATTTGCACTCTTACAATTGATGTGAAGCTGGGGTGTTCAGCCATTAAAGGGATTGAGCAATGTGTGCATTAATGTCCTCAACGGTGGGGTTCCATGTAAGAAATAATATTACTCTAATGGTCTCCAGCACAGTACCTGAGGAAGCCCACAGCTGCTAGTGGTGTACTGGTTTGCAATATGGCAAAAGTAGGTTGTCTCACTATTAGCCTGGTTGTACATGGTAAATAAAAATTGCATCACAGGGACCAGGCAAATCTCCTTGATTGCAGAGGGGGTAGAGCTCTGTGTTAAAATCACCCTGCTAATACATTCCAGATGAGTTAGATATAATAGTAACAGCTTGTATCCTACCAGTCTACTCAGTAAGGAGCAAAACTGTCCTCCAACTTGTCCCCCCCAAGTCCCTTGAATATTTCTTCAGATCCTCCTTTAGAATCTCCTACTTACATTGCTATTATAGATGAACTTCTAGGAAAAAACAAAAAATGGAAGAAACAACAAATAGACCTGGAAGTGTTGGCAGATCAGACACTCTTATTATTGAACACTCTACGGGAAGTCTTTGAAAAATTAGATATGTTATCAAAACTTATTGAAGATTTTCTGGTAAAGGAGTGTAAGGACAATATGGGGTGTAAGGGATGTAGAAATTTAGAAATGAAAGGAAGAGTGGCCAAGCGGTGGAAAGCTAGTGAGGCTGATAAAAGGGAACACAGGCTGTAGCAAATAAAATGCAAGTCTGTGATCAGGCAGGCAAAAAAGGAATATGAGGAGCATATAGCAAAAAATATAAAGACGAACAATAAAACTTTCTTCAAATACATTAGAAGTAGGAAACCAGCCAGGGAGGCAGTGGGGCCCTTGGATGACGAAGGGGAAAAAGGAGTACTGAAGGATGATAGGGAAATGGCTGAGAAGCTAAATGCATTTTTTGCCTCTGTCTTCACTGTGGAAGATGAGAAGTGCTTGCCCACTCCAGAACCACTGATTTCGGGAGTGGTGTTGAGAGACATGAGTCAGATTGAAGTGACAATAGAGGAGGTCCTACAACTGATAGACCACTTAAAAACTGATAAATCACCAGGCCTGGATGGCATACATCTGAGAGTTCTGACAGAACTCAGATGTGAACTTGTGGATCTCCTGACAAAAATATGTAATCTTTCCTTAAAATCTGCCTCCATTCCTGAGGACTGGAAGGTAGCTAACGTCACTCCCATCTTTAAAAGGGTTCCATCGGAGATCTGGGAAATCACAGGCTTTAAGTCTGACTTTGATAACGGGTAAGTTGGTGGAAACTATTATAAAGGAAAGAATTACCGGTAATAGGCATATAGATGAACAAAAGGGAAGATCTTGTCTCACTAACCTGTTAGTGTTCTTTGAGGGGGTGAACAAACATATGGACAAGGAGGACCCAATAGATGTTGTTTACCTTGACTTCCAGAAAGCTTTTGATAAAGTTCCTCATCAAAGGCTCCTAAGTAAACTCAAAAATCAAAAACTGGCTAATTAATAGAAAAGGTACAAATGATAGAAATAATTGGTACAACTCTGACTGTAAAGTGCTCAAAAGATCAAAAGATCAGTCAGGTGCCTATATAGGCAGTTTAAGAACTCAAATAGAGTAGAAATTTTGCCAAATATTTTGAAATTGAAAAAAGAATATTAAAAACTATTGAAATTTAAGAAATCTGAGGCCCAGAAAAGAGATTGGGAAAGTCTGCTTTGGGCCATAAAAACAAAAAATGAAAAAAAAATCTGGATCTTAATTGCAAAAGGACTAAACACATGTTTTCCTGTACCCTGTCATATTCCAGCCACTGTCTGGGAAGCTTTTTTCACCTCTATTTTCACAAATGGAAATGGAAATACCCAGGATGGTAGGCTGATATTGCCATCGGGTGTGAAGGAATGGCCCCCGGTAACAGCAAGGGAGATTAGGACTTTAATTTTTAAAAAAGGGTAGGGGGAAGCACCTGGGCCTGATTTAATACCAGCAGAACTATTCAAAATTGACCCAGACTGGTGGGCACAGATTTTAGCTGCTTTTTTCACTGAAATAAACAGGATGGGAAATATGCCGGAAATCTGATGCAGTGCAATAATTGTTCCAGTTTATAAAAAGGGGGACACGACAGGCCCAATGAATTACCATCCAGTAAGCTTGATATCCACTATAGGAAAACTTTATGTTGCAATGCTTCTTGAAAAGCTGGAATCTTGGGTTGAAGGAAACAATATTTTGGGAAAGGAACAGGCTGGTTTTAGAAAAGGAGCAAGTACCATCGACCATTGCCATACCTCCAGTTCTTCATTGATAAATACACGAGTTCTGGAGAAGGCAGAAGTTCTGGAGAAGGCCTTCATGGACCTAAAATCAGTGTTTGATACAATCCCTAGACCACAGCTATGGGAAAAGCTGAAGAAATATGGCATTGAACCATGTCTCCTTTACTTAATTCAACAGCTCTATAACCATCCCTCTGCCCGAGTTAGTTGCGGGGAGTTAGAACAGCTATTGGAGCCTTTCATCCTAGACAACGGAGTCAAGCAGGGATATTTACTTAGACCCCTGTTGTTCAATTTATATATAAATGACCTCAGACCCTGTATCCTGAAGGAAGCATGTCATCTCCCACTTTTATCCAAGTATGATGTTCCAATCCTTCTATATGCTGATGATGCAGTGAGAATGTCTAGATCAATTGTTGGCCTCCGCAAGCTGATAAAAAAATTCGAGCTTTACTGTTATCATGAGGGCTTATCCATCAATGTGATGAGGTCATAGTATTCACCAAAAGGAAAAAGAGGAAAATCTTCAAATGGGATATAGCCGGGCCAACCTATGGAACAGGTCAATCAATTTAAATATCTGGGAATCCACTTTGAAGCATCTCTTACATGGAAAACACACTTGGATCTAGCAAGGAACACAGCTTTGAGAGTAGGGAAGACAATTGTAAAATACTTCTACTCATCAGGAGGCCAATTTGACCCCTTAGCCTTAAAGGTTTTTAATACTAAGGTTCTAAATCAATTCCTGTATGGGGCGGAAATTTGGATTCAGGCCGCTTCTGAAAAAATGGATTCCATCCAGTATGACTTTTTTCAACGCTTTTTGGCTACTCCTAGATGTGTCTTGGGCATAGCACTGAGAGCAGAACTAAGTGAATTATCGATGGAAGCTAGAGCTTATATTAAAGCATTTTTCTTTAAAGTAAAGGTTTTAAAATCTGAGGGAGGATCTACTCTACTTGGGCTTATCCAGGCAGATACACATTACAGCTAATGGAATCAACTATTGGAAAAGAGAATGAAATGCCTAGGGTGTATAACAAATTATATGATTAAAAATATAGAAACTAAAGACATTAGAAGACAAATTTAAAAATCTGTAAGGAAATTGGATGTTACAAGTACATCTATTAGGGTGCACAGGGTATGTTCAACACTTCATTTGGGAATTGCCCTTCCGATGCAACTGCTGAAATATTTTTATCAGTTGACAGTCCCAAAACTAAGAAGAGCTTTTACTTTGGCAAGACTGAACATTCTTCCATTGGCAGTTTTGAAGGGCAGGTATAATAAAGTATCATACTCTAATAGAACATGCAGATGCTCATATCATAAAATTGAAACCATTGAACATATGATTATGGAGTGCTCTATATTCGATGAGTTGAGGGCTAATTTAGTCACCCCTTTAATTAAAGATATGGAACCGCTAAATGTGCGTGCCCAGGTGTCATGGCTACTATAAGATACCAATGATCATGTCACCCCCTCGGCAAAATTCATAGGCGCAATAATCAAATATAAGAGAAATAATACTGAGTAAGCTCTTTTAAAATATTTTCTTTGATTCTAATTTCTGCTTAAGGTGATAGCCATATGAGCAGTATTAGATAGATAGAAGTAGAAGAGCGTTTCAATTGGAAGGCACCTGAGGCTGGAGGGAGGCTTCAGACTTTGCTGGGTAGGATATAAGCCCAACTCTGTGTTTTAATGATTACATATAATCCGGAGGATCGCTGAGCTAGGAATTTTGGGAGTACATCTTAGAGAGCGCCACTTAAGCTAATGAAGTATCGACGAAGACTGTGAACACTTCAACTACTAGAGTATTTTAACTGTATGACTGTTTGAATTTGTTTATGGAGACCAGGTACATGGTACCGACCTTTGTAAGCCGCCCTGAGCCCGTTCGTGGGGAGGGTGGGGTATAAATGTAACTAATAAATAAATAAATATAAGGCTCTTTGACTTTTCTATCAAGGCATCACTGTGTGGGAACTCAGATGATTGAAGCAAACAGTGGATGAAAACAAGCTCATTTCTTGTTTTGTAGGATAAGCTAAAGCAAAATCCTACTATGCCTTCTGATCCAGTTAGGAGAGTGGTGAATCTCAAACTACCCTCTGCCTTGTTAGTCCTTAGAACTCTTCAGGGGCAGCCCTCACCCTCTTAGGAACAATGGTCAGAAATAAAAGGGAGGGTTTTTGAGGTACTGTCTATATTCTATGCTTCTCCACAAAAGATGTGCCTCTCAACTTCACTTTTATTCAGTGCTCTTCTGCTTTTTATGCATGTTTCACCTTTAAAGTTGTTGAATAAATTCCATATTCTAAATTTACATTATATGAGAAATTTGCTGCTAATATCATTTATATTGTCCTTACTAGTGTTTGTTTTATATGGTGAAACACTATAATGACTGGTAGACATGGACATGCTTTTGCAACAGGGCAATTTGGGTGTGTTTCTCTATTTCCCAGAACCATTTTTAATCTTCAACGGCTTAGCCTTAGTCCATAAATAGAAAAGTTACAACCAGTTCTAATGTTCTGTTCTGTTTGGACATTTTATTCTCA